TTTGGCAGGTTTGACAAAGATCATTCACACCTATAACAGGACAATTTCTTTTTGATTACCTGGAAATAAGTGGTAGAAAAAGTGAGGCAAAGCTTTCTTTTTTGGTAGAAAGTATTTACCCTCCTGGCTGTTCTCCATTACAGTTTTGCTGTGACACCACACTGAATCTTCTTCATAATTCATGACTAAACATCTTACAGCTATATCCTTAGCTGATCTACACTCCTCAAAAATAATCAGTGGCATCTCATTTTCCAACATGACCCGGCTATAATGGCAAAGGACAGTCACTCTCCTGTCCTACTCCCATTGGTATTATGTTCTGAATAGGTCATCATAATGAAAGATCAAGGATAAAATAGGAAATACTTAACAACACCTGTTTGCTCCAAGGGTCTTTGAGTTAGATGAAAAATGTGGCTAGCAGTAGATTAGCACCTGAACTACTGACCACTTGTTTTTTAAATAACAGCTCAACTTATTGCCACTTTTAATTTGTGTGAATTTCTAGAAATAAATGACTACATTAATGAAAACATTTTGCCTTACATTAAGACTTGAGTAAGATTTCAAGGAAGTATGAATGTATTGCCATGGTCATACATTGAGAAATAACAGAAATCCAGAATTATCTTTTAAGAATAAATAAAGAACTAAAGCCACTTATATTTCAACAGAGTAATAGTCCTTTACCTCACTGGCAATGTCTCGATTATATTATTTTCATGCTTCACATCACATAGCAGCTTTTTTTTTTTATTTTTTTTTTAATTTGGTTTCAAAATCTGATCAGTTAATTTTGTTAGATGAAAGCTCMCTTTCCCCTGAAAAAAGCCTCTTCTTTTTATGAGTGTGGACACCAAAACAAAATCTAGCAACTTTCAGTTCTCTCTCATCTTCTCATTCCTACTTGCAACAGATCAAGCCCTTGCTAAGACATGCAATCTTTCCAACTTCCCTGATTATTACATTTTATGGCATTTAGTGTGGAACAAGTGTTAGGCATAGCACTTATATTTTGTGTTTAATTTTAAAGGATTTAATTAATTAATTTAACCACAACATCAAATACTATAGTAACTACAGCTATTAATTAACAACAACAACAAAAAGTTAATAAAACATTCTGAAGTTATAAATTATGTAAYGACTTAAAGATTAAAGATCAGCAAATTCCAAAAGATTCGTAATGTGGATGTGGAGAAATCTGTTAAAGGTTTARCAAGAGGTAATGCTTTTCAAATACATGGAAGAAACTTTTATATGTGGAATAAATCCCTACTACTGTAGAATAACCGGGGTGATTGGGTGAAATGAATGGGTAATCACTGTCTTCCTTAGTAGAACCATGGATTTCAAAGTGGCTTCCTAATGATTTCTACTTGTTGGAAGTTTCAGCAGAGCAAAGGCATGAAGAAGCTCGATAGCTAGAATACTATTTATGAATTCACTTGTGAAGAACATTTTTTTTTAATGTAAAAATAAGACTAGATATTATGTGAATCAGTAATTCAGTAGGTCTAAATGATAACATTTACTTCCTTTTAGAATCCTCCTTCATCTGAATTTCAGTCAAAACCTATTGCTGCCACTGGAAGTTTTGAATTTTCCCATGGCATCTTCCACAGTTCCCCAGGGACTAACAAAGTACACTAACAAAGACAGTGAACCATTTCTCCCACAAAGGTTCAGTTTTATGGTGCTGTACTGTTTTCCTTTAAAAATCTTTAGATGAAAGGTAAAATATCTTGCCTCCTGCTCTAAAATAAATAAATTTTAGGGTTTTTTTTTTCTCATTTGTTTTTCATCACAGAAATGAATATTCATGCTCAGACAGTGGAATGGTGATCTAAGAGGTTTATGGTTTCTGACCTGAGTTTTTTTCTACAAAGTTTGCTATCAATTACCAAATGAGCCTAGCTAATAATCAATGACTTATTAGAGAGTATCAAGAAAAAAAAAAATACCAATCTGCCTACAATGTTTTTAAATATATATATATAGTGGCTTGATATATTGAAGTGCTGCTGCTGGTTGCTGTTTTTTTTCTAATCTTAGCAGTTTGATGTGAATATAATTTAAACATGACTTGAGTAGTTAAGATTTCCATCTCCAAGTAACTGGACTGCTAATCAAAGTTGTGTTATAATTTAACACTGATGAAGAAAGCAGTAGCCGTCAGGAGGGAATGACAGAAACAAGGCAGCCGCTTTCATTTTGCTTTAGTGTCCTTTTCTTTAATGAGCCTGAGGAGACAATTCCCTGCTGACTATCCATTAATTAATGGGATTTATGAGTGGAAAAGAACTAAGAGCATGCAAACAAGTAGCACACAGTTGATGACAGTCACGAAACTGGAGAGAAAGAAAAAAGAAAAAAAATCTTCTACATAAAGTAAATGATATGAAATGGATATTTTAAGTGTTAGGTTCCCAGTGCCTCAGATGGACTGCACTGAAGTATGACTTATGGCTTAACTGAAATTTATTATTAAATGCTACTTCTGAAATATCCCCAATATAGCTCAGGAGGAAGCAAGTGATGTTATTCAGCAGATGGCTCTTCCTCATTCTGAGCAAATACCAACTTTTTGCCCCAACTTGATTTTATTTATAAATAGTTGAGTGGATCCTCCTAGGAAACATTATCTCYCTCCAGTAGTTTGGTATTTCCAGGTGACCCTGGTAGCTTGCCCTCTGCTTGAGAGATGTCTGAGATGTCCTGTGGGAGTTTTGCAAACATTTCCCAAACCATTTTGGTCCTTGGACAACTACAAACACCCCCAAGGACAGGTTCTAATTCTTTCCTTTTGTTCTGTCAAAATAATTCAAAATAGCAGGATTTAGATACACTCATCCAGAATAAATACGGTTCTGCCCCTGTTTGCAGGGGCATTTTGTGTAGGAAGTGTAATGAGTATGGTGGGGCCCAGCTGTACAGGCATGAGCTCCTTAACGACTTGGCATCAGTAGCATATGTCAGAGCAGCTACGAGTCTGCTGTAAACAGTAGGGGTGGAGGCAGCTTGGGTTGAACATGAAAGACAAGAGACAAGACATGTCTCATGGACATAAGCCTCCCACTGCAAAACCTTCCAACATCTTGGTTTTATTTTGGATTTGCTAAAATGGCCATAATGGCAATGCTCGTGCAATATGTCACTCTCAAAAGTCACTTGTACATAATCATGTATCTCTTGCATATGCAGTAGCCAAACACAAGGATTTCATTCTTGACACTGAATGTTGCACACAAAACGGCTCCACATATGTTTGCAGGCTGGGTAGTTACAGCACATGCTTTTCTACTAAACTTTCTAAATGTCAGAGATATTGCATATTTTTCTCAATGGCTCTTACACCAGATGGATGCTGGGGAAACAAGAAAAAGTTTGAACAATTTGGTCGAGATCAAAGGCAAGGACTTAGTGAAAAATATATCCAATGTACATATACATACATATATATATATAAAGAAGTGGCATTTAATATAGCAAAATATGAAACATAGGAAGTTTATCCCCTTCTCTCTTATAAAAATAGTGTTTTATACAACATATAGCACCTTAGGCAAGAGGGAGAAGGATTTTAATAACATCTTTGAGGTTCAGGTAAATAAGATGAAGCACAGATAATAAATGCAGGCAAGAACCTGATGCTACTGTAAGTACACAACATTCTACTTTACATATATATAACATTAGATTTTAAATATCCTTATTAATTTCTATTAATCATTCTATTCATTTCATGGCATTGATCATATCTCTTTATATTTTTATAAAAGTTTAGGATCTATTGGCATCCTATGAAAATGTTATCTTTTTTCATAATTATATCTTCTAAACCTCCTGACAGAAGACAATCTTTTAAACATTACAATCTTTTAAAAATAAAAAAAAATCAGAAAGAGAAAAGTAAAAACATTCTTAAAGTACTATTTTTTAAAACATCTTGGGTTTCTGTCTAATTTATTTGGTRTTGACAAAGATATCTGCTCAACTCCTCATCTCAAATACTTGTGATAGTACCATATTTCAGAGGGAAAGAACTATCTCCTCCTGCCTGTGAATAAATTGATTCATTCTGTTTCAAGATTCCAAGATGGTTTCAGTATAAACATGATATAATGGAAAAAAAAAAAATAAAGTAATTAACATTATCAAGTGAATTACAGTTCTCTGTTCTCTGTATTCATATAGGACCATGTGCGAGAGACCTGTCTGGGCACTTTATTTGTAAGAAGACACTTTTTTTTCAGTGCACTTTTGTGCATCTTTTTGGTGCGCACCCAAGTCCTCAGGCAGGGAGGTAACCAAAACATTGCAAAGATTTCCCAAGATGTGAGACAACAAAATGAGCAAAAGGTTGTAACCAGGATTTGCAGAGGAGTACAGCAGGCTTAGGACACAAACCCATGTACACTTCAAAGGATGCTTGTGATTATGAGGGAAGAAAAAAAATGTATACTGTTTGAGAAGAGTAAGAGAGAAAGAAAAAAAGAAAGAACCCTTTTTTTTTTCTTTTTTTCCTCACCATTTTCCTTTTTTTTCCCCCACTGAAATTGCCAGAAGAGAAGCTATTTCACATCTCCGTGGCCCAGTTGAGCCAAGCACCTTCAATCCAAGTTAAGACCATGATAACCAAGAAGCTTCCAGAACAAAATATACATAAAATGAGCTGGTGAAACCAAAAACACAGTCCTTCTCTCTTGCACATGCAATGGATGTGCAGGCTACAGATGCACCTACGCTCTGTGAAAAAGCTATACTGCTGTTGCCCATGAAGATCATCCAAGCTCCTGAAAACCACTGACCCAATATGTCTGTCAAGAAAAGTTAAGGCATAACCCAGCCCCTCTCTACCCAACATTTCTGACACCATTCCTGAACCATAACTTCTTAACTGATATTATGCTCAGCCATATCACAAAGTTGATGACAAGTGCTTTTAAAAATACATGTCATCCATATTAAACATTCTTACCTTAATAAAGACAGCAGGATGTCTGGAAAGTTCCTATGCAAATGCAAGTGACTTCCTAGAAAAAACAAAAACAACAAAAAAAGTGTATAAACATACATACATACACATGCTCACACATACCACATGAAGACTATATTCAAAGCAATGGCTATATAAATATAGCTTGACTGGTGAGAACTTTGTCTGCTAGAAATCCTTTTAATATGTTTGTTCTTCTCTCCAGCCTTTGGATTCCTGTGAACATGGATAAACATTTAGACATATTTGGTGCAATTTTCTGGTCCCAGGTATAAGCTTGCCTATATATTGCATCATAAACGATAGAGGAAATTACTAAAGATTGAAATGCTTTCTAATCTTATCTTTTATGAACCAAGTAATAGGACARCTAATTTCAAACTACAAGCTGAACCCTGTCTCTTTATTTCTGGAATATCTTTTTTAGTATCCTAGGTTACTCATCTTTCTTGGAGGTTATCATTATTTTCCTTCATCATTTAATGAATGAAATTTAAAACAAAAGAAAAAAAAAAGAGGCTAAAGCAAAAAATGTTATTAATTTCATTATTCTATTTAAAAGGGATATCAATAGTTATATTACTGCTTCTGATATGATTCTAAGACAAGCAATGTCAAATAAAATAAAATAAAATAAAATAAAATAAAATAAAATAAAATAAAATAAAATAAAATAAAATAAAAGCATTATAAAAGCTGAGGAAAATGGAATTGGATTGAATGAGAGAAAATAAAGGTTATTAAGAAACACATTTTAGATAAATATCCACTAAGTGAAGACCACCAGAAATCATCTTCTAGTCATGGCTTTGTCATCAGTTTTTCTAAGATGTATGGAAGAGTCTAAAAGCGTGAGGCTGAATTATTACTGTTGCACTTTCAATTCTCTAATGCAGATATGCCTCCTTAGAGAAGCTCATAAATACGGACTTTACAGTCTGTACAATAAAATATTTAAAAATAATAGCATTTTCTAACTTTATCAGTAAAGAACAACCTCTAGTCTACACTACCACTTTTAAACTCCTTTTAGGATTTGCTTTCCAGCAACCCAGCTAAAAGTCAAACATAAGATTTAGTCTAGACCTTAACCTAAAGCTCCTAAAATTTAGTCTAGACTTCTCCCAGAGGATTTCCTTTGTTTTAGACTCAAATAACTATTTCTCCTTTTGCACCTTCTTCAGCTTTACCTTGATTCCACAATTAAGAAATATCTGTACAGGACCTTCAGGCAAAATTCAAGATCACTTGTCAAAGATCTTCTCTAAGGAAACCCTCCACCTTCCAGTATAGGCTCCTGATATTTGCTTCCCATTAACAAATTACTTGTTATTGTATTAAATCAAAATTACAGCACTGGTTTCTGTCAACCGAACCATGGATTTTATGTATTGTTATACATAAAACGAACACAAGCAAACTAGAGAGGGATGTGAGAGATCCCTCTGGAACCCATAAACATCTTAAGGAGAGAATTTGGGGAGAAAGTACAACCAACAGGTTTTCCGGAAGCTGCAGAGTGATGTGACCTTCATYGGGGAAGTTCCTCCAGTCAGATTAACTGTAGATGGAGGCAGGACCAGGCCTGGTGTGTTTAAAACAGATATTCATGGTAGACTAAGGTTCTAAATATGCTGTTCTACAGAGAAAAGGCTCACTCAGMCTACCTAAAAATCAGATTAACAAGCAAGCAATCCATTTTTTCCTGTTCGTTCTTTTTATTTAATCTTTGTTTTTAGAACTATAAGATGTGGGGATCCATTAATTCAGACTAGAGGGACCGGCAGGTGTTTTATATATGAAATCTTCAAACCATTTGTCTGATTTTTTAACGGGGAAAAAAATGTATGTTTGTATACATAACATTCTAGATTGTAGAGCTAACGAGTAAGAGAAGAGAAATAATCTAATGAATCTTCCAACTCTTTAGTTTTTTATTCTGTAAGTAAATAATCAGATCCTTTAAAATCTATTTTAACTCTAGTATAAAGTGCTAGCAAGTATATAACCAAGCTCTGGTTCCTCTCTGTTTCAGTATCTGGGTTACAATATTAAAATGGCATTGACAAAATAAATTCTGAAGTCACGTGGCACAACTAATCTTTTTGAATTTGAGTCAGATTTGGGAAAAAACATTCCTGTATGCTTCTTGCCYGTGGAATGTTTTCCCCTTTTCACCTAGTCCCATCTTTCTTTTGTAAGAAAAAGGCTAGTCCTTATGAGCATCGGTGAGATCTATCCCTGCCACTGCATGACACATGTTTATACAAATTTATGCATGTTTTACCTGATACATAGTTATATCTTAGAAGTCTTTTGGTCCTGATAYTTACTGTAGCTTAATAATGTAGATACTTGTCTACATTTATTAATTTTAGTTGCATCTACTCCTGGTAATAAGTTTGGCGTTATGGGAAGGGAGTCATAATCATAGGTTTTATGATACTTTGGGATGATTTCAAAAGAATTTGAAGCGAAACACTGCTTTATACAATTTGGCATAAATTATTCCAGATATTATTACTTTATTTTCCAACTATTACAAATGCATATAACTTATTGGAGATGTTGGTTCTTGTGAAGAAAGCAAATAAACAAGCAAAACACATAACTTGCATGGAGTAGCAAACTATTTCCAATGGCTGTAAATTTGAGAAGTTCATAAGTATGCCTGATTTCAACACTGGATTTACTCTATTTTTAATTTTCCAGCAGATTTCCCATAGATTTAAAGCATTCATCTGAAGCTGTCTGGCCTATTTAAAGGGCACAATGTACTTAACTATTCAAAAGGCACTTGATCTCATGAATGCACTTTGCTAGTAATAGGATAGTCATTTTCCAGGCCAGTAAAAAAAATATTGCTTACTTGGACACAAGCAGATTGTGAGAAAGAACACTTTTGCTGATGGCTGGCAGGCTGACAAAGGGAAATGGGAAATATGGCCCTTTCCTGAATTAAGTTGCATCGAATCTATCTGTTCCAAACATTTGACTCAATTCCTTTCTTCTCATGATACTTACGCCAATAATGGGATAACAGATTTATGTCGTGAAAGCACTGACCTTTGTCAGAGAGAACATTTTGACAGGAAAAGATGTGATATGTTGTTACGCTCTATAATTTTGACAATGACTGACAGTGTGGCAGTATGTCAACATAGAACACGCTTATGTTTTTACCTTGTCATCCTTGGATTAATTCTTGGGTTTTAGTGGTTTTTTTTATAATGTAAACCTCATCTGATGAAGCTGCTAGGTGGAGCCAAGTCAGGTTGCTAAGACGCCTTGCAAAGGGGACAGTTTCTGGTATCAGGGTGCGTGTATCTAAAAAGATAGGGTTAATGGGACGAACATGGGTACACAAAGTAATTCCTGTCCAAACTAAGGGATAATCACAAATTCTCCATTGGCCATAGGAATGATCCACTTGGACAAAGAATGCTGGTATGCTCCACTTAGGTCAGAATAAATCCTAACTTTCATTCTGATTTCAACTCGTGAATAAAGGGGGAACATAAGCACTAGAGAAACGCGGATTTTGGGTAAGGTCACAAGTAAGATGAGTAAACACTAGTGCTTCTTCAACRCTTCCATTTGCAGCTGAGTATGCTTTCAGCATGCTTAAGGAGGTCTGGCTTATTTTGTCTGTTTATTTGATAAATATTGAAAAACATTTTAACCCAATCATTTTTCCATTCAAGAATGTGTTTAAATGGAAGGTGAGTACATTTATATTTTAGAAAAGTAGATTACTGCATGGAATTGGAATATTCAGGATCTAATAAGCATATAGATGCAAGTGTTTTTTCTTTTGTCTTCAGGATTGGTGGGTAGAGAGAATTCATCACCATGGTAGCAAAGAATCTCACTGTTCAGGAAAAAAAAATCCAGATAGAYGAATACAAAAAGGAAATGGAGGGAGAAAGTGATTTGTCCAAAGACAGAGTACAAAAGTGACCTTTTTGGAAAYAGAAGTGATATCTCCCAAGCTGCAGTTGGTCTAAAGTCAGACCATTCTTTTGCAAAGCCTCTGTTTTTCATATCTGAGTAATGACCCCATACTCATGTGGGGGTAACAGAATAGTTATGTGGCATGGCATGCAATGTGCAACTCCTTTCAAGTCTCACAATAAGAATGTCCTTGCTGCTGTGCAGCGCAACAAAATTGACAGCCTCTGCCCTGGAGGATCATATTTTGCTATCTCTTACACATGAGTAATTTCATTCACTTGCAGTTTATTTCTGTTCCAAGTGAAATCAACGGTGAAATTCCCAGTAACTTCAGTGGAGTAGGATCAAGACCCAGAATATTAGCACTGACTTATGTGAGAACTCTCAGGGAACAAATCAAGTTGGAATACAATCAAAACAATGAAAACTTGTTTCCCATCTTTCACCTTCCATGATTTACGTATAAAATTGCCTAGATGTAGCATCACTTTTCATTCAACTCTCTGAGTGACACTTAATGAGGTTTCATTGTTCACTATGACACTTTGACAAATGTTGTGTTACTATTGCTCTTAAGAGTGACTATACCAAACATCTCCACTCTGGAAGCATTTCACATGGCATAGTGAGAACTCAAATGAATAATACATGAAATATAAGAAAGGAAGCAAATGTTAACTAATTTCAAAATGGGTCAAAATCATGACAATTTAGTTGGTGACAAGTGAATTCATTTTTCTATAATATTAACCATGTCCCTTCTGCTAGAGTGATTTTCAGAGGAAAAAAAAAGAAAAAGGTCATTTTCTAGGCAGATGGGGAATTTCCTAAGCAGAGGGGAATTCAGTTTCTACATGCCAGATATAATGAGAACCAATAAATTAGGYGAAGCTCCTGTTTACCTAAGCTAAAATATTGATGGCCAAGCCCACGGGAATGCTAATGTCTACATTCATCATTTTGTTTCAAGTCTGGAAATTTAGGGCACAGTAGCACATGACTTGATAGATCTATATATCACAGATACAGTATGCAGATACAGAAAAGATACCAACAGCAGAATACAAATAACTGAATAATTTC